TTTAAAAAAATATTTTTTTATATCCTTTTGCACATTTTCTCATGAGAGGGAAACATGCAAGAGATTGGTCCTGCTTGTCTACACCTCCCATTCCACGATTATACTCCAGAACACAGGTCGGTTTTATTTGTCGATGCAATTTTGTTTATCGGTACTGTTAGGAGGGGGAAAGCATCTCCAACAGTCTAAACAAAACAGCATCAATGCACGACCGAAACAATTAAAGAATCTAATAATGAAATGCACGGCGTTCGCCGAATTCAGTTCTTGACGTCTTGGAGACGTCAAAGTCTACAATGGCACATGAAGTAAATGACGTCTCCCAGACGTCATTGTATGTCAAGTGGTTAAGAAATTTTCAGTACGATATCACAAGATAAAGTGCTACTACAGTGCTCGGTGTAGTACAACATCGTATTCCAGTAGAAACAGACAGTTATGGCCAGACACAGCAACGAATTCTCTTCAAGACAACATAACACAACAATAATTTTCTATTCGTTTCTCTTTTGTATTCTTTCGATTTTATCTTTTTTTCCCAACCGCACTACTTGTTTGTCTTATAAAATCACTCGTTTATTATATTTTCCTGTACTATGTACGTTTACTAAATCTACTATACACTCATTACGTACGCTATGCCTTTTTTTTACTTCTCTTCTTACTTTCTATTATATTTGTAAACGTATATATTCGATTTTTTTGTTGTCCTCGTGCAACGGCTATATAAAATCTCTTTCTTTTTATTTCTTCTTTCGTGACAAAAGGCTTCTTGATCCGTATACATGAATAAATGAATGAAAAAAATAAATAAATAAATAAATAAATAAATGATATTAAGACGTACATTTAAACATCCAGATATATAGACCAAAATTAAATAATATAATAATAAAATAATATATAAAGAATTCTCAATTCGTTGCTCTCGTTCGGTGACGACACGAAATTTTCAATCTCTGAATAATTTATCAAAATTTCCGCGCGCCTGAAAGATATGTAGGCACGAAATTAATTCGGGTACGACGAGGTTTTTCGACGAAGATCCATATATCACGATACTCCGGATATTTATCCAGTCGGGGCCGGGAACGTTAAATCAATTTCGTATAAATTACCTGACCGCCGTGGTTTCGATATTCGAATCACGCTAACGGGATATCGTTTAGCGTACCGTCGGCCATTCAGAGATCCAGAAACGAACGACCGGTAGTGGGCCCACCTGATCGTACGACGAATTAAATCTCGATAAATTCGAACGTGTGAAAGTACGAAACGAGCGTGTCGACGAGAGGAGTCATCGCGGCCGACCCGTTCATTAGCATTTTAAGTTCCTCCGCTTTCGTTGCCGTCGCCGTATTAATTCGATTTCGTCGAACGCGTTATACTCGGCCGTACGTGTGCGCGGCGTTCGTCGCTGGAAAGCAATTAACGATTCCCCGACGATTTTCTTCCTCGATCCTCGACCGGGTCTTTCTATTCCTCTTCTCGTCGTGTAACCGCGCCAATGTTTCCTTGTCAACGAGCCGCAGAAACTCGCGGATTCCGCCGGCATGCTTCAGCAATTACTGTCCGGTATGATTCATCGTGCTGCTCGAAGAAGGCTTCTTGAAAAAATGTGAAAGCCTCGATGGTTTTTCGCGGAACGATTCGACGGCACGGCGCGCATTCTCTTAGAAAATGATACATAAATGAAAAATTGTCGATGCTGAAAATCGTTGCGTAAGCGGAATAATGTTGCGGAGTTTGATTTATCGTTATTCGAGGTTTTATACGTTGATAACAGGACAAATTAAAATAATCGAAGATTATTCGAATTTCGATGATCTCCGCTATCGAAACGAGCGTGCTTCTAAATGTTTAAACACTGAAAATGTGGTTTCAGAGCGTCGTAATAAGAGAAAAAGGATTTAGTTAGATAAATTATTCCATTTATTTCTCTATTTTTCCAATAATTATTTGTTACAATATTTATAAGTTATTCGTACAATAATGCGAATATTTCTTCACTGTTTTTATCTTTACGTAATTTTGTGAGAATTATGCGCATGCATTCAGAGTCGGTACAATGTTTACTTGTTATTTTTACAACACTTCTCGAGGCAACGTTTGAGGAAAAGTGAATCGTAAAAATTAACAGAAAAGAAATTAATCGATAAATTATGAAAAAAAGAACACTTTAAATTCTATCATCTTTATTCCAATCGAATAACAGGTACCTTCTATTCTAATGAAATCTGAATCGAATAAATTCTTCCTCGGATCTCTCTCTCTCTCTCTCTCTCTCTCTCTCTCTCAATTGTCTAGATAAATGTTCATTCGATTGGATATTTATTCAACAGCGTGGAATAAAACTTTGTCCGCCAGTCTTGATCCCTTATCCGACGTTCGAATAAAATTCTGCCCAACAGCGACGCAAACAATCATATCGTACAGCTGCTCTTCGAATATTTCTGTAGGCGAACACGGTATACACAGTAAATTCTCCCTAATTGACGCTAAAAAGGTAGACAATTTGGGAAGAAGAGATGCGACTATTCGAGCCTTGCAACTCGTTTTTATAGTCGTTGACAATCGGTAACTATGAAAACGAGCCGCAAGGCTCGAATAATCGTAACTCCTCTTCCCAAATTGTCCACCTTTGCGCGCAATCTAAGTGCGAATTAGGGAGAATTTACCGTACTACGAGCACTTACTGTGCGCCTGCTCTTCTTCCGAGTTCCTTTTCGGTTTGTCTAAGGATCGCGAGCACGGTTGAAAATTTTGGTGAAACCAGTTGTGTAACGAGATCAAATTGGAGATTATTTCCCTCGGATTTGTCCGGCCCGGTGTAAACCCGTTTCCTGTGGGGCCTGACAGCCAGAGTTTCTGTAGGGTGGGCGATCCGCTCACTGGTGAACTTAATCTAATCTAATTTAACCGATCGTCGGCCCCGGACGTGTTTCACTTTGTATTATATAATCCGATGCTCGAACGGACGCGCGTCCACGTATTAAAAAGATTCCCTGGCCATCCGTCATCCCGATCCTTATTTCGACATCTTCACGGGCAACCTGCGAGACGCGATCACGGGCACACTAAAAACGATTACCTGCCGACAAGTTGAAACGTGATACTCTCAGCCTCCTACTGGCCCATTGCGTAATTTACATCCCATAAGTCAACCTCTTCTCTGGGGGCAACGGCGATTCCAGAAACCGTGGATACACGCGTATCTCCATTTAATTGCCCCTTCGTTACACCCTCGCCCCCCTCCCCAAACTCCTTCAAAATGTATCCTTTATTACGCTCGACAAACTTGGTATTAGTGTGAACAACGATCACCGTTTTATTGACTTTTCAAATTAACGCCCGAGTTGATCTGGTGTTAAAAAAATGTACGCGTGTAATTCTCTCTTCCACCGAAACGTATCCTTTTATTACGTTTGTCTAACGCGAGAATGGTTTTAATGAACAACGATCACCGCTTTATCGGCTTTTCGAATTAACGTCCGAGTTGATCTCGTGTTTAAAAACGTACGCGTGTAATCCATTCTCCTAGCAAAATGTATCCTTCCATTACGCTCGATAAACTTGATATTATTGAACAACAATCATCTTTATTGACCTTTCAAAATGGCGTTTCAGTTAATCCCGTGTAGATGTCTACCCCACGCGTAATATTTGCATTCAAATCTCTGACACTATTGCTGCCTCGTCATTCGGATATCATGTAATCTCGGTAGTGTTTGCGACCTGACAGTAGGTAGACATAGTTTATTCGGTTCGACGATATATCAGTGTTTTATTTCCCTTAAAACAATTAATTCTAAAATCGTAAGTCTAAACAGCGATAGTCTTTGAGGATTGAACTGATTTTAATTATCATCTGGAATGTAAGTGTTTATGATAACGCTAAAGATAAATAAACTTATAATAATAATAATAATAATAATAGTAATACTAGGAATAATAATAGTATTCGTGCGAGTAAATTTGTAAAGAACAATGTCCAAAAATTTCGGAGGAATTCTTACGTCCGCTTATGCTATATCTTTTCGATTCATTACAGTCGAATTCAAATATAACGATAAATTATAAATATTTAAACAACGGAGAATTACATCTTTCAACACACATAACATATATTACAATTACCTCTAAACGTTCTTTTAATTTAAGGAATTAACATTTATACCAAGTTCTCTCAATCCTCGATAAAATAATCTCTCTCGCACACACTTGCCCCTTGTTTTATTGTAAATTACATCAACAATCCCCGATATTTTCTAAAACAATCTCGCACGCTGTCTATTTTTTATTGCATCGTTTGCTCTACTGTTTGAAGAAGGGTTTAGAATCGATCGATGTCTCGTAATAGGTACTTTAACCTTAACCGTTTACGTACCACGAGCCACTTTTGCGCTCTTCAGATTTTGTGTCGAGAAAAGCCAGGGCATTTGGCCGAAACAGACGACTTACGGCCCACCCGAAATTTGTCGAAACGTGCTCGGTCTTTCAGACGCATGTATACGTCGCGTGTCGCATCGCTGTCAGTAATCCAATTTGCATTTTGTTGTTACCTATTCTAAATTAATAGTATATATATTTTCACTCATAACGTTTTATTTTATGTTTGACGGCTTTTTTTGACACATAATCGAAGGAGCGCTATTACGCTTTTCGGCGCTTTTCGACACATAATCGAAGGAGCGCGATCGCGCTCTTCGGCTTCTTTCGACACATAATCGAAGGAGCGCTATCACGCTCTTAGGCTTTTTTCGACACATAATCGAAGGAGCGCTATTACGCTCTTCGGCTTCTTTCGACATATAATCGAAGGAGCGTTATTGCGCTCTTCGGCTTTTTTCGACACATAATCGAAGGAGCGCTATTATGCTCTTCGGCTTCTTTCGACACATAATCGAAGGAGCGCTATTGTGCTCTACGGCGCTTTTCGATCCTGTTTTTTCAGAACCATCTGGTACGCAAACGGTTAATTTCGTTCGTTATGTTTGCAGGGTGGTCGGAGCGGTGGTGGTCGGCGCGGCAGTTTGCGGCCGTATTCCTGGCCTGGCGAAGAGTCAACGGGAGCAGTGCAGAAAAGCGCCGCACGCGATGCCCGCGGTCGGCGAGGGCGCGGAGCTCGGCCTCCGCGAGTGCCGGCATCAGTTCAGACATCATCGGTGGAACTGTTCCCACGTGGCCAACGATCAGGTCTTCGGCCACGTGGTCGTAGTAGGTAAGGATTGTCCTGTCACCGTGCCTGGCCCGCTATTTATTATGCTCCCGGCGTTTAACAGCGCCGCGTATACCATGCTCCTCGGCGCGTCTGTAAAAGGCTAGCCAGCGTGCCGCGTGTACGCGGTAATGGATTCAAGCCGCTCCGGTATTTCGAGCCCGCGACGGTGCACGCCGGTCCGGGCCGGGCCGGACCGGGCCGCGCCGGCCCGACCGATGTCGCGTGTAAACGGTGTATATATGCGCGCGGGATCCTGTATAAATTACAGCCGGGGATTTGCTCTGGTAAATCGGGAGATACCAGTTGAGCAGCGATGGGTTAATGGGAACCGTGGAAAGCGAAACCGATGCCTCGCGTTCGAGATTCTTCGAGACGCGGCCGGAATGTCTGCTCCAATCGGACGCAACCACTTTTCAAATTACATTATTACAGATTTGATTTCAAATGTCGTGTTATATTGTTTTGTTTTTTTTAAATTATTTCTGTGCCCGTGATCACTTTTTAAACGGCATTATTTGAGATGTTGTTTCCAATTACACGTTATATTATTTTTTAATTGTTTCTATATCTGCGATCACTTTTTAAATGGCATTATTTGAGATGTTGTTTCCAATGACACGTTACGTTATTTTTTAATTGTTTCTATATCTGTGATCACTTTTTAAACGGCATTATTTGAGATGTTGTTTCCAATGACACGTTATATTAGTTTTTAATTGTTTCTATATCTGCGATCAGTTATTAAATAACATTACTCGAGATATTATTTCAGATGCCGTGTTATTTTATTTCTTCGTTATTTCTATGTCTTTGATTACTTTTTAAATGGCATCGTTTCAGACATTATTTCAGATGGCACGTAATTTCATTTTTTAATTATTTTTGTGTCTTTGATCGCCTCTTAAATTAAGATATCACTTTAAATTACATATTATTCTATTTTATAATAATCTGAACTAGTTATTCGAGGTTGAATTGTAAAATGGTTCTAAAACATTATTCGAACGGAGAATTCATTCGAATAAAAAGATTGAATAATTCGCGACGAATAACGAATTATTCGAATAAAATAATCGTCTACAGATCAATATCTTTAGAATTCTTTCAGATCATTATCTTAAATAAATATGTATTCGGAACCATCCGAATAACGCAAACACTGACCGCGCCTAAACTAATGCTATTATTACACGGACCCAATTACGAGATTCGAAAGCCGTCCCGATTCCTCGATATAATTCTGCACCACGTAATACTAAACCGCCGCCGGGAGGCCTATTGTCGATCCGTCCCGTCACCCTTATCTCTTATTCGCCGCGCGTAAAAAACGATGACAATGGGTGCGTCGCGATGATAAAAAAACTCGAACGACGGAATCACGTTAAAGCTCCAAATTAGGAACGGTCCGGGCGGGGTAATGGGATTCCGGGGATGGCCGTGTTCCACGAAGTAGGCGTTTTTTCGCCGGAATCGCGGACATTTTTACGAGGATTAGAGGACAGAGGATACAGACGGTGGCGCGGTAGCGGTTTTTATCTCGGTGGAAATCGACGGACCGGCCGGTCCGCGGCTACGTGGTAGCTGCTTCCTACACCCACAAGCCTGCACACGCGTGTACACGTTAGAAGCGGGGGTCCGGTTTCTCGTGTTACCGTTTCGTGATGCTGCCGGCTGCCCGGCAGCCGCATAATACGCGTATAACTTATGCCCGGCCCGCAGAAGGGACGTCGCAACCTTGTGCAAACTGCTGTCCTCTTTCTCTTCGGTGACGTTCCCGCGGGAACTAGATGCCGAGGATCATGCGCGCGGCAACTAGTATCGAAAATCGTGCTCGCGGGAACATCAGCGACCGGCCAGCCCTAGTCTCGACAAATTTTGACCGCAAAGGGAAAGGGAAGGGAATCTCGCTTGCAAGGGAAGTTCGGTAACCCGAAAATTCTGATATTTTTTCTTGTGAAACTGTGCAACAAGTTTGTCGGGGACCGTGAAAGAAATTCCGAGCTATTTTTATCGTCCCCAATTCGTTTCTTCGGGGTGAATACACCCCTTACGTGTGCGGTTACGGTAAAAATGTAATATTATCTTAGCAGTTTGAGGCGATGAAATTGAAACAATGCAATTTGTTCGTTTAAATAAAAATATCCGCCTGTACCGTCATTAAAAATAATTCGATGTTTATGAACATCTTGGTAGAAACAAAGTGTAACGACCTGTTTCCTGGGAACGTAACGATGACTTCGTTGTCTTTTTTAAGTTAAGGGATGTAATCTTTGCGCCGGTATCGTTTATCGACCATCAAATTTATCGTTAAGATAATTTGGAGTCGGGGTTATTTATAGTAACTTTATAATTTATTTCACTTGTCTTTTCAACATTCTGGCGACAGATCTGAATCTGAGTCGCGATGAAGATTCCTAATAATAACTATAATTGTTAACTGTAACTCTGTTCTCTTGTTGCAACTATTTGTTCATTAGGCACACGATAAATATCTTTTTCTTCGAAGAAATGATCACAACCGAAAAATGTCTAACAACTGTGAAAACAATGATACTGCACAATGGTTAAATATAAAAATAGAAATATTGATCTCTCTGGGTTCAAGAATTTTTTTCAGTTGATTCGAATGTTTTGCCACGCTACTGGAATTTTCTTACAATTTTCGCGTACCGGTGAACAGTGCATTAATTTAGATTCGATAAAGAAGCATTTATCCTTTGATTAATACTTTTTGATGATGCACGATGACGCATTTTCTCTACGTTGGATAGTAGAACTTTCGAATGTAGAAGATTCTAAAGGAACGTGTTGCAAAGGTTTCGAGATGTGTCTAGTGTTTCCATCGAAGTTCCCTTTGAATGAAATTGCAATAATTCCAAGATACGAGCTTTTAGAAATTTATTAGCGCAACCCGGTGTGATTAACTGCCGGCCAAACGACCACTGGTTAGACAGGGTCCCACGGTAGAATGTAAATGGACGGCGCCGTGATAAAGCTCGTGGAAATTCTGAATGAAAAGACCATTAGTATGGTAGGAGAAAGACTGTCTAATAAAACATAAGTGGGACGGGGCAGCCATCCATTTGCTTTCCTCCTCCGACGCGTTCACGCGCAGACGTGGCTTCTTCGCATACACCTATACCATGCTTCGATATTAAATGGTTTAACACTCTGGGGCATAGTTTATCGGCGCCGTAAATGTTTTCTTATCGTCGTCGAATGAAATCTTTGAACGCCGGACCGAGGCTCCTTCGAAATTTATGCAGACGAATCTAAACGTTTCATTAAAGTCACGGCACCCCGACGCGCGATCCACGGTGAAGTTTCATCTAAAAGTGTTTCCCTGTTCAGCAGTTCGAATTTAATATCCACATAAAAATGCCAAATATAACACCGTTAATTCACGAAAGGTCTTCATCCTTTTTTGCGACTCACTCCCGGGAACACGAAATTCGTACAGTAACAATCAATCAAATATTCGTGTAGAGATATAACTTGGAAATATTGTACTCGAGATTTCAACNGTAGAAGATTCTAAAGGAACGTGTTGCAAATGTTTCGAGATGTGTTTAGCGTTTATACTGCATACTGCAATGGTTAAATATAAAAATAGAAATATTGATCTCTCTAAAATCAAGAATTTTTTTCAGTTGATCCGAATGTTTTGCCATGCTACTGGAATTTTCTTACAATTTTCGCGTACCGGTGAACAGTGCATTAATTTAGATTCGATAAAGAAGCATTTATCCTTTGATTAATACTTTTTGATGATGCACGATGACGCATTTTCTCTGCGTTGGATAGTAGAACTTTCGAATGTAGAAGATTCTAAAGGAACGTGTTGCAAATGTTTCGAGATGTGTTTAGCGTTTATACTGCATACTGCAATGGTTAAATATAAAAATAGAAATATTGATCTCTCTAAAATCAAGAATTTTTTTCAGTTGATCCGAATGTTTTGCCATGCTACTGGAATTTTCTTACAATTTTCGCGTACCGGTGAACAGTGCATTAATTTAGATTCGATAAAGAAGCATTTATCCTTTGATTAATACTTTTTGATGATGCACGATGACGCATTTTCTCTGCGTTGGATAGTAGAACTTTCGAATGTAGAAGATTCTAAAGGAACGTGTTGCAAAGGTTTCGAGATGTGTCTAGTGTTTCCATCGAAGTTCCCTTTGAATGAAATTGCAATAATTCCAAGATACGAGCTTTTAGAAATTTATTAGCGCAACCCGGTGTGATTAACTGCCGGCCAAACGACCACTGGTTAGACAGGGTCCCACGGTAGAATGTAAATGGACGGCGCCGTGATAAAGCTCGTGGAAATTCTGAATGAAAAGACCATTAGTATGGTAGGAGAAAGACTGTCTAATAAAACATAAGTGGGACGGGGCAGCCATCCATTTGCTTTCCTCCTCCGACGCGTTCACGCGCAGACGTGGCTTCTTCGCATACACCTATACCATGCTTCGATATTAAATGGTTTAACACTCTGGGGCATAGTTTATCGGCGCCGTAAATGTTTTCTTATCGTCGTCGAATGAAATCTTTGAACGCCGGACCGAGGCTCCTTCGAAATTTATGCAGACGAATCTAAACGTTTCATTAAAGTCACGGCACCCCGACGCGCGATCCACGGTGAAGTTTCATCTAAAAGTGTTTCCCTGTTCAGCAGTTCGAATTTAATATCCACATAAAAATGCCAAATATAACACCGTTAATTCACGAAAGGTCTTCATCCTTTTTTGCGACTCACTCCCGGGAACACGAAATTCGTACAGTAACAATCAATCAAATATTCGTGTAGAGATATAACTTGGAAATATTGTACTCGAGATTTCAACAACATTTGAGCGGGTTAGGAGCATAGTAAGTCGCGATTTTCATCATTGTGAGAAACAAGTTATTTTATTGCTTACCAACGTGTGTATTGTTCACTTGCCGCATTTATTATTTGCTAATCGAATTTATTGTTGAGATTATTTAGAATCAAG